AACTTATGAAAGTAAAGATACCGGGTCAGATGGACGGGAAATAGTTACCAGATGCGGATCAAACTAAGTATGATAGTAACGGGCAGTCAGTTTAATATGTGTTGTTCTGTGGGACGGAAACATGACCTATGTATATGCGCCTGCGGGCTAGCCCGTTTAGTCGTTGGTGCGCGCAATAAAGATTGTGATTTCTTGCCGCTGCGGTTTTACTAGCTTAGGAATAGTACAATATCGACAGATTTAAAGACCCCTTGATTAGCTGATCACCCAGTGGAATGAAAACAACTGCGTATTAAATTTATGAGTTAAAAGTTACTAGCTTACAAGTACCACGGCCATAGTCATTTGATGTAAAAGAGCCATGTTATTTGTTTTCATATTTTTCTGCCTACCTTAAGGCTGATCAGAAACAACAGCAAAATAAACGTGCTTTGAGCTTGCTCAGTGATTTGTAGTTGTTACGAGAAATAACTTTTACACTCGTCTGGGGGTTACGTAGCAGTAGCACAATGGTATAATGAGGATATAAAGCTGGAGCGTGATAAGTCCCGTAGGATTAAAATATGTGAAGATTTGGCTTTTCGCTGATATGGTTTCCGACGATCGTTCGTTCATTCATTTCGCTATGTTATCTTACGAGTCAAGTATTCTGCTTGGTAGGTAGGTTTTGGAGGCCTAGTAGTTTAAGTGCATTCACTTAATCACTTTATCCCCCTCTAAACCTATCTGATCGTGTTCGAGTAACGCCAAACGTACGATTCTTTGTGCCTATCATTAACTGTGAAAGCAGGATAGAGCTCTGCGTTGGGTAGCACTGATATACGCCAAAAGTTCACTAAAGTTTTATCAACAAAAAGCCCATTCCATGGATTCATTGCAGGAATTTTCCAAGAATACAGCGAAATGTACTTCACCAGTGCTCTCGGTCAAACCTAATATCTTAGCTTTAGTACCTAAAGGCATAAGTAACTTATGAAAAAATAATGTAAGCAGTTTAGTGCAATACTACAGTGGTGTTTTAGCACAGCCACCTCTTAGTGCTTCAGAGACGGTACAATCGGAAAGTGACGTGCACAACAGGACTCATACAAGGGGCTAATGCGTCATATGTGACTAGGATTTGAGATCGTGAATTGACTATGGAATGGGGAACAGCCAGGTTCAAAAGGTTTGATCGTCGCAGCTAGAGAATTTACACTGGTTCCAAGCTCAGGCACTGCATCATTTAAACAACTGTAGTTGTGGCTGCTCTCTGCCTGTCGCATGTAGTGAACTGTGACATTTGCGGTGAGATCTATCTCATAGATTTTGCACCAATTCCGACAACGCTAAATTGTAGGTTTGTTTTATAAATTCCGCTGACACCCTGAGAGGCCGAGTTCGGACGGCGGTACAGCGGATTCAAAGCGGGTACAATAGTCAAATGCTTATCAGGTCAAGTAGGTGAAATGAGTAAGGCCAAAAAGTAAGTGTCGAAAGAAATTAGGATGTGTGACAGTGGGTTCGCAGTGGGGTTCACGTGTGTCCACTGTTAGGTTACGTTGTGCCATGGCCCGATAAGTTGAACAAAGTCCTGTGATGTTGGCAAAAACATCATAATGTCCGGTATCGAATTTGTTGAACGCAGGAGCGGAACTAAGAGAAGTCAGAGGAGAGATGCACGACTGCGACCCATTATTCACGGTAAAGCTCCGGTGATGTGATAATCTTTAAATAGTGGGCTCCCAATGAAACGTTGTCTGAGTTTTAAGAGGTCACAACGTAAGTTATGGTTTCGTTGAGGATCTGATGCAGCGACATAAAAATCAACCCGAGGATGATGACGGTGTCTACAGAATACTCCTATGGTCTTCAGTTTAAGTTGTTAACAAAGACCGAACAGACTGGTAATATTTTTGGTTGCAATTAGTTGCTCTCCTTTTAGGAGCCCCAAGCTTAAATAGGCCATGCTTTTGCCCGAAATTAGTCCCGTCCTCGATAGGAAACCTGTTCGCACGAGTAGTCAAGTATTAATGTCAGTTACAGAGTCACGATCAATTAACTTTTCTAATAACAGTGTTGGTACAACCGGATGTGGTCATTGACTTTGCACATACTAATTGCTACCGTTTCTCGTTTCCAAAGCTTTGGTCCAATAAATCTCCAAATGCGGTGGTAATTAAATCAAGTTCAAGCCAATTGATAGTATTGGTAGCAGTATGAGTAGCATATGGTTCAACTTAACGGATCGCGTGATGTTGGTTTATTCCGTGTGTGTATGTAAATAAATAAATACATAAATATTACTGCCATGCCACCAGATGACACTTTCGAAAATGTTTAGCATAATGCATGAAAAACCACTGACGTAGCTACTGTGCACATAAATTATTGTATCTTTTGTTATCTTATCTCTCCTGCATTAGGACAACAACTATTCTTTATTACGAGCTTTTTAACTAAATGACCACATGGAGTCACCCTCTGTATAACAGCAAGTTCTGCAAACATATCACTGTCACCATCAACTGAGCCTCCAACCGCATCTGATCGAGTCGGCTAAATAAAAGATAATCAGCAGTAAAAAATTTCGTTATTTCTAAAAGGTCGTTCATCACTGGAGTTGCATCGCAAACCTACTCTTGAGTTGGATCACTAACTTTCTTCTTTAACACCAATTGATGGTAGGAGTTCGGAGTTCCTTATTTGATTCCATACCAGTTGAGTGTGTTTTGCCTCAGCGCTCAGTTCTATGAGCACCATTGTCTTTGGTATTTACTAATGACACTACACAGGCAATCACTTCAAGTTTCCTACTGTTTGTTGATGCTGTCACGAGGTGGTACTCTCCGAACGACACCAAAATGCCTACTCATACTGGCTCAGTAGTTCTCAATAGGGGATGATGGGATAAAAAGAAATAGTTTTGCAAGACCACCGGACGGTACACATCAGTGACCTGATTGTTCGCTGGGCTCGAACACTCAGACCACCAACTGAACAAACTGGGCCACCAATATTTACTTCTATATTCCCAAGTCAAAGTCAAAATATTCCGGTGTGGAATGTGAAATATCAGTATACTCCTGCGTTCACCACGTGTGTTGACAATGCATTCCAGTGGGGACAGGTTCCAAGAGAGTAAAAATACATCTTACAATCCAAACGCGGGTGTTGCGTCCCTAGTTTCATGTGCCAGGCCCCCTTATAAGTTAGCTGACAAACGCTCCGTCAAGGCAACGACCACAAAAAGCAAAGGTTTCCTCACATGTTTTAAATTTTTTATAACTTTCCAAAGCTGATTAACACGATTACAGCATTTATTTCCCCAATTACTCTTTAATTTGGTCGCTACAGACCGTAGAAGAAATTTCCACTAGCGAAAGTCCATGTGTTGCTCTTCATTAAAGCTGTTTCAAGAGACAAACTTTCGTTTTGACCACGGACGTTAAACTTGAAACAGCTACTCTGATTGGGACAAATATACGAATTACTCAGCAGGGGTACCAGCAGTCTTAATCCCAGTGGCGTTTGTGCTGTGAGTTTTCTTGCCTACCCCTCCCCTTTAGATTTCTCCTCCAATTATGATTTCACGCAAAATGCACAATATATTAGCTAACCATATATGACTTACCTTTTGAATCCTGCAGAGTAAATATTTAGTACCATCTTTTTGGTGTTACGGCACATTAGCTGAGGTTTGTCTCTCATCCTCAGCTAACGTGTATCGTGAATATCACTAACGTGTATCAGCCGTCCTTCATTGGCAAGGGACGGAAGTACTGCAGCGATCTTCCGTTGAACGTGACCTGGGCCTGCTGATTCAGGATGACGTGGGTTGTTCGGGACAGTTGGAAAACACGTCAAAACCTGGTAACCAATACGTGTGGCTGTTGCGACAGGCATTCGGACAAATAGACATCTCTATTTTCCGACAAATGCTCAGTACGTATGTTCGACCCCATGTCGAATACGCAATTCAAGCCCGGCATCCATGGTTGAAGCTTGACCACATTGCAAGGGATCAGCCCCAATTTCGGGCATCCAGATGCGTCATTGGAACATGCAATCTTTTATATGAGCAGAGGCTGGAACGATTGGGGATTTGCAACAGACAGTATCGTCAATTAGGAGGTGACCTGATAATCGGTTAATTGATTCCACACAATCATACTCCGGTGTTTCGCTCTATATTGCAACTCGGCAGTAACATACTTAAGAGTCACTTTGTCAGCTAGCCGAACAGTATAGCTGCCTGGAGTGCCACAGGAATTTCCTTTTTATTCGTTTATATCACCCGTGGAATACATTCCCCGAATCGGTCGTTTCTGCACGGACACAAGCAGTCAGTAAAAAGCGGTTGGCTGACGCACTGAGCCAGTTGCATTTTGTTATAACACTATAGCTCCGCCCTGCTCCTAGGAAATATCTTTTACTTATTATTTGTCGCTTATTGGCGCCTCGAAAGTTACGGAGTGCAGGACGACAGCACTAAACAAGACAAGTGTAGGCTTTTGTAAGTGAAAGTACTAATTGCTTTTCCGTTTTTTTCGATAACTCGTCAGACCACCCAAGGAGGCTTGTCAAATCGTGCTTTTCAAGTTGTATACATCATCACTTATTGACATCACACATTTAAGGTTACGTCACGGAGCAGTATTATTGCATAACAGCTTCGATGGACTGAGTACTTGTTCCTCCTATTTGCCTGGTGAAACACCGAATATACTTGTTACAGGTCCTACAGTTCTCTCGCGTAAGTTACTGTGAAGCACTAGTAGCTTCCACAAGTGCTCCACCATATATTTTGACAACCTTGCACACGTGTCCTCCTCGAGATTTAATGGCGTGTGCCTTGCCTCTCTAGCTATCAGCAGATACAGTCGCGCAGTATTGCTTCCTAGAGCACCCTAGAGCACTTTCCTAGAACACCCTTCTGAACTCACAATTGGGAGTTGCTTGTGAAGTCGTGAATATTCAGGCATTACATCAGATAATCGAGAAGCAACACGTAGACTTACTGGTCGTCTGTCAATCGTGTAAATCCTGGTCACTGGAGTGCCAAATAATTCGGTTAATTCTTGCAAAAACTGTGCCATTGATTGGATCTTTCTACGCCGAATCACAACAGCCTTCTTCCGTCGCTCACGCTCGTTAAGATGGACGTAGATTCGCTTATTGACATCATCGGACCCAACGTCAGTGAGATCTGGTCGTCCCGTTGCAACTTGTCTCACTAGAGGGGTTAAAAAAGAGCGACCTCCTTGACTGTAAGAACCTGAGGTGGTCCCAGTAGATTGAGACTCCCTTGGCGGCTCATACGCGGGAGAACGTTTTTGCTGATTTAAGCGACTCCTTTGTGTGTGAGTTGGTTGCACTAATGGTCTCCGGTAATCCGTCATTCCCGTGCGCCAGACGGGCACCTTACGATCCGGTGATACAGTTTTGCCTCTGGCTTTTCTTTCCGAGCATATATAATGCCCAGCATACCGCACATCAGCCATGGATTTGAACTTATTGTGCTCCGTTTGAGAATAGATTGGACGTGCATCATGCTCCAGAGGAGACGGCCTAGCCGGCGCGTCGACCAGGAGGGCTTCTAAACTTCTGTATCGATTTGGGTGTAATGCTACGCGAATACCATTTTCATCCGAATCACCAACTGCATCATGATAAAAATAAGCTGTTTTAACTATTGGTTTTTGCGACGTGTTGTTCGACTCCAAGCGGACGTTTGAAAGCTGGTAAACTCTCCTATCACCTGGGAACATCGGATGATACTAATCCAAAAATGGCACACAGCTGTTCATCCACTCAAATTCATTTGATCCCTCAACTGGATTTCATACCGACGAAGCGCATACAGGATTTGTAACAATGTTATAGAATTCCACTCTTGGCTGCATAGCTCATAGAATGGTTCGACTATGGGTCTTATGCAGTTAACCGGCCGGCACTGTTCGCTAGCGGACTTTAGGCAGGTGTCACGGGATTGGCTTGTGATGGGCAGTTCCCGGTAGTGGTTGCTAGGACACAGGATGAGGAGCAAAACATTCGGCTACGCTGTTTATCTGGTCGATCGGTTATACTTCGCGTACTTATCCACTTGCTGTCAAAATATCAGCTTCGTCACCGTAAGTAAAATAACAGACTCGTTTGTTGTGGTTACTTATCGGGCATTCTATATTTGGTCACTTTGTGAACTGAGACCTTTGGTGTGTTCATCAGTGATGCTTTAGATTATTGTGCAGTTAATAGTATAACCAGAGTAAGTGGTGAACAAGCAGATGCAGAAGGTGCGATGTGGCTTATGGCGTGAATGCCAGAGTACAAATTTAACGTACAGAAAGCACTAAATCAGGAGTTAATAAACGTTCTTCACACCGCGCGGGATAACGGAACTAAATGAGTGGTACGAACAAAATAGCCAATAACATGATTAGCATGAACCGCATAAGCATTCTGCGCAACAATTGCAAATCAGGACGAAAACGTTGTGACAGCGAAAAAGCAATGCAACAATCTGTTTCTATCTTTCTTGGTAGCTTTAGTGAGTGGTGAAATATATATGCTAGGATTAATTCTCCTCAAGTGAGAAGCTGCCCGCCACATTTGGTAAAGATCATGTATGTACGAGTAGTAACATGTGCTTGTATGCGGAAGATAACGTTGCGTCAAATAAACTACGAACTGCATATTCGTCAACGGTGTGAGGCACAGTACAATGGGTTACCTTTCTTGATGAAAAGCGAAATCGCAAGGAGCAGATGTTTTATTTTTTGAATTTTCCAAAACAATTCTCTACCTACATTATGGCGGATATGGCTAATTGATCGGCTAAATCTTTCAGAAAATCGTATGGTCATCAAAAATAATGGATGCAGCTAAATCCAAATATACAAGTGAGGTAATACGGCCATCCATTGAACCGTCTCGTGGGGACTTACTTCCTTACGGGTTATTCCCTCTATGGGTTTCACCCTTCTAGCGGAATCGGAGATCTTGTACTTGGTTGGATTGGTAGCATCCTTCACCAACGGAAGCTGCAACTACGCGTTAGGGGATCACTCTCTAACCCCGACTGAGCCAAAATGTGGTGTGCCACAAGGCTCAGTGCTGGGACCGCTCTTATTTCTGGTGTCTTTCAACGACCCGGCAAGTGTCATCTCCCCAAATTTCCTTATTTTTGCCGATGAGGTCAAGAAATGGCGGGCGACCAGTAACAATGCAGATCACGATATACTCCAACATGACCTAGATTACATTTATGATTGGTCAAAGAGGAAGCTGATTTAGTTGAACATAGCTAAGTGCAAGGTGATCCATCAGCGTCACCAGCCGGTGAGCGTTTATAAGCTTGGAGACAACACATTGGAGAAGGCCTCTCAGGAGCGTGACCTGGGTGTATTGGCACAGGAAGACCTCGGGCGTTCAAAAGAAGCAAATAAGGCGACGAGCACTGGCAGTCGGACACTTCAGCCTGCTTCGCAGAGCCTTCGGTAGCTTTGAACCCTCAATCTCCCCAAATGCTTAAGGCCTACGTGCGACCACACGTGGAATATGTTATTCAGGCGTGTTAGCCGTGGGAGAAACGAGATCTCGTTGCTCTCGAGACTCATCAACGAAGGGCAACCAAGAATGGCAGAGGCCTCTTTCATCTACCTTATCAGCTTAGACTGAGATCTCTAAGAATTTACAGCAGTCGATATCCGCTTTTGCGGAGAGATTTCATAATGGTTTACCAGATTCTGAAGAAACCATACCACATTTGCCCTCCGCTGCTGGAATTGAACCACTGCATTAACATGTGATGTCACCCTCTGAAACTGACAATTTAGTATAGCTGGCTTGAATGCCGTAAAAATTTCTGTTTCCTCCGCGTGTGCCAGCCTTGGAACACCATCCTTAATTATTTCGTCTCTGCTCCTAATCCGGCGATATTAAAAAAAAAACTAGTCGTCGTTGCCTTGTCTCATTTGCATTTCATTTTATGAATTGTTAGCCAGGGGCTACAAAACGTAATCAAACAGTGTCATACCAAACTCCTTACCAATGGATTTATGGATTTGTACTTTTAATACGAGAACAGCCTCGCTACTCTACAGAATTCTGTGGTGAGTCCACCAAAACACTTTTCACTTTATCATGCAATTCACTTTTCGTCATAATTTCCATCCCACGGGACTAGTTAAGCATAGCTTTTTTACTCTTAATACACCATTATTTCATTGTTCCATTTATTATTTACTTTGAGAATGTTTTCAAGTCAAATTTCCTGCTTTTTGCCGATGACAAAAAGAGACGGCGGGCGATCGGTTGTCAGCAAGATCACGATATGTTGCAAAGAGACTTAGACCACGACTTCAAATGATGAAAGGAAAACCTACTGCTGTTTAATACGGACAAGTGCAAAACTGTGCATGTCCGGCACAAGCCAAGGCACGCATATAAGTTTGGAGGCGACATGCTGAAAACCATCTCACAAGAGCGAGACTTTGGCGTGGTGATCCAAGACGACCTCGGCTGTTCCGCACAGTCCTTGCAAACGTCCAGAACTGCGAACCAACATGTTGATCTGTTATGGAGAGCGATTGGGCGGTTCGCTCCTTCTATCTTCCCCCAAGTGTTCAATACATTTGAGACCTTATGTAAAGTAAGCGATCCAGACTTGGCAACCCTGGTTAAAACGCGACCTGGTTGCACTGGAGACCGCACAGCGACGGGCAACGAAAAATGTGAAGGGTTTGTCCCACTTGCAATACCATAGGCGACTAAAAACCCTGGGAGTGTAAAGCGGAGGATATCGCCGCCTACGGGTGACCTCTTCCTGGCGTTCCAGATTTTGTTAAACCCCGGTCAGGCTAGCCCACACCTCCTGAAGCTTTGCTGCAACACAGAATTGAGGGGTCATAAATGGAAACTTGCTACCCAATACAGTCGGCTGCAGTGCCGCCGGAATTATGTTTCCCATGGAGTTTGTCAACCGCGGAACGCTCTTTCGACTGTTGTCATTTCAGTGCTCACGCTACCCATCTTTTTAAAAATGAGTCGAAGATGCTTTACACCATTTAGCCTACTTGGTATGATTTCTATTCATTGAGGACGACAAGACGCAGGCAAACATTGTGCTCACCAACCCCAAGAAATCTGAGCAGACGAATCTATCTGTGTTAACGTGGATAATATGGTGAGTCCACATATGTGTTTTTCACTTCTGTGTAACTTCATTGAAATAACGTTATTCCCCCAAACCATCCTACGGGACTTGTCAAGCCTTGGCTTATTCATCCGGTTTATACCATTGTTCCATTTTTACGGTTCTCCAGAAAAAGGAGTATGGTCATTGGTTAGGTGAGGAGAAAAAAGCTTAGGACTAACGTGTCCCACAAGGCGTTGCGTTGATTTTTTCAAAAGAAAAGGAAAAACAACCATAAACAAACTGGAACCGAAAGCCGTGAACCTACCGAGTAAAGTTTTGTCCACCTGCGTCGTTCATAAGTGGTTTAATGCAACTTCAAATGTCACCGCTTTCGATTTCCCTAAAGAAGCGGGTGTGGGTTGATACGCTTTTGTCTTCTGAATGTCATTATCGTTCAGGTGTGTTGCACTTTGGTGCAACGCCAATAGCGCACTGTTGACAAAATGTTTGAACACAGTGAATTTACAGCCTAAAATAACAGGTTCTGGTAGTGAACTGGATATGTGGCAAACAAGTAAGGAGAAGAAATTCCGTATACCATCCAACCGGCTGTCAGTTTGAGTCCGTCGCATCGCAGGCTGTTGTTAGGACTGAGTTTTAGCAGCTGATAGCACGAATGGTTAGGGTGATCATGATTAGTTCCCCAGACGAATGCCGATAGCATTCTCTGAAGACTACTAAAGTACTCAGGCACTGTTCGTAACTGGCGCTGTCCTTTGAAGCACTTGTTTATACAGTTGGGAAGTTTCAAAAACTGTGAGCTCTTTCTCCAACTACCCTTGAAATGCATATACCACGTGCAACATATACATGCAGAAAGCAGGTGTAAAAAAATATCTGGGACCAAGTGACCAAAAGTCATTTTTCAGTGCTAGCGAAAATCGCTCCTACTAGCCTAGGTTTTCTTGAATTAGTATTCCGGGATCTCTTTCTAGAGGACAGTGCTGGAGATCATGATCGCCAAACTCATAATGTGAGGCAGTTGATGTTCTAGATGGTGTGCCCACATCTACTCACGTTGAACTGAAGACGATTGTGGACTGACTAGTCAGGAATCTTGTGGATGTCATTTTGAAGCTGCATGCAGTCTGTTGGAGTTATTAGCCACCGCCGAGGCTTTAGGATGTCTCCGCAAAGCAAACAGAGTGAAGTGACTACGTTAGATTGTTACTTTAATCTTCAATTATAGCCCTGACACGTGTTCGATTCGGTCTATGTTAGCTGTTTATATGTTGTGTATTTAGCCTCATGATGGATTAGTGAAAACGAGCATTTTACTGTACAGATTTTTCATTATTGGAACGGGAATTAACCACCATTTGAACATCCGGAACATCGAGGTCCCGATATGGAATCTTGTGGCTTACCGTTTTCCGTGTATTCCACGAGTTAATACTGTATCGCCTAGTTTCGCTTCCAGATCAGTGTGCAAAATCAACTTGCTGACACACAATGCCGTACCCCCGATGGTTGGCTATAGGGGTGCGACGAGACAATCGATGGCATTCTTTAGTGAAGTCGAGATAGACAGCATCGAATTCTACACTAACATGCATTGCTTAAGTCAAACTGCCCCCTTGATAACAGTAGATGGTCAGCGCACGCTAGGTTCCAGCGGAAGCTGTGTTGCGATGGCGCGATGTAGTCATCATCACCAAGGTAAGAAATGAGCAGGCTGGACAGATGGCAGCTGAGGGGATGCATGTAGGTCAATGTTAAGTGGTATATAT